CTGATTGGCGCCATTCTACCTGTAAATAAAAAGAAATATTCTTTGTAAGGAGCAGATCAATGCAATGGATCACTTTCAGCATTTTTAATAGTAAAAGTTTGTTTTCAAACGCGTGAATGATGAATTTCCAATAAGAGATTTGTGAAAATGCTAAAAGTGATCCATTACACGGGTCTAGTACCAAAAAAAGATAGAAAACGCAAGAAATAAGCATAAAATCATGTATTCTAGTGGAATTTCACAAAACCCAAGTCTATTTTTTACATTATTGGGTGAGATTGGCACGGCATGGTATGAAAAATGTTAAAAACAGCACAAAAACACTGAGATCTAGACAAATGAATTAAAAAACTAATATTTTAAACAGGTGAGGCGCTTTAAGATGGGGTCGTACGCGGTCGTACGGTCGTACGTCGTCTAGTACGCAAAATATGCCAGATTTGTCACATTCTAATCATTTTGCATTAAGAAATGGCGTTTGGTTGAGAAAATTGGGAAATTCTAGAATTCTAAATATTTTAAGGCTTTGCGACGATGAAATTTGAAAGAAGGAGAAGATTTCTCCAATCGCTTTAAATATTTAGCTTGTTAATTGAATATCTCCATTAATGTTAAAAGGACCATCTTCAGATTACACGGCCGCACAAAGAACGCCTCGCCGGTTATTTTGATGCGGTTTGATAGGGTTTTTTGAATATTTTGATAGGCTCAGTAATGATACTTTGTGCCTTGGGAATTTCCGGGGTTGTGAGCGTAAATGACGCACGTACGCCAGAAAGTGGGCGTGTATGTGAGTGCACAAAGTACATGCGACTTTAAAAAGGAATTTAGTTTCTCCTTTGAAACAATTTAATTCAAAAAATTAAAATTGGATTTTGAAAAGCTTTTCATTTTCGATATCTCAGAGCACACTCAACATTTGTTTTTCCTTTTCTTTTCCTCTTTTTGATCAAATCCAATATTCGATATCGTTCCCGGCGATCGGAAAATGCTAAAATCATCGTTTTCTCGTTTTTCTATGCGATTTCTTCGAGATTCGAGCATGCAAATGTCTCGTAAATCCCGGAATCGCGTCTTGATCGCAAAATTCGATTGTTTTGAGGAAATCTTGAGGAAAAGCTGAGAAGGAAATCTTTGTTTTCATGTCAGCTTTTGAAATTTCATTTATTTTTTCAGTTCTCTGAATTCTATATTGTCGAAATTCCATTCGAAAATCTGATTTTTACTAAAAAAAAGCCCAAATCCTCAATTTAACTCAAAAGCCTCAATTTAACAGCTATCAAAATCTTGTCTGAAATCTAAAATTCCCCTCTCTGCTTGCTTTTTCCTCAATTTTTCCATTTCAATTAATCCCTTTCCCATTCATTTCTTCATTCCAAACATTTCCCCAATATTTACTTTCGTATTGTACTAACAGAAAACGTTGAGAAAAAGGTAATTCGACCTACTAGAATAAGTTGAAAGCTAAAACTCAAAATTTCTCTGAGATTCTAGAAGTTTCTACAAAAAATTACTCAATCCTGGAACGCATACTTTAGTTTGAAACAAGATTTGAAAGATAATCGATAAATTTCTGGAAATTGCTATACCTTGATTTGACACTACCGTAGTCATTTACTGCTTTAAGAAGCTATTCACTGGATTTTCTATTGAAAATCACGATTCCTGGAGGTCATAGCATGACTGGAAGCGTTATTGAAACGAGTGCAGCCAACGGGGCGAACGGCTACCACCGCTTGACTCACCGATTTGCGATGGTGAGTGATCGGGGGACAAAGAATCGAATATTCAGTCAACCGAGACATTTTTTAGAAGCTATGGATAGCATTGATAGATAATTTTTACTTTTTAGCACTTTGACAATGATTTTGGATTCTGGTTTTGGTCTGGCAATGATTTTGGAATTTTCCAAAATTTAGATTTAACATTTTCACTCTGAAGAATGGTTCCATTCATCACTTTTTCGAAAATCTCTTCGCCCCACAAAACTTGTTCCCTCTTTTTGTGTTGTGAGATCCATGATCACCAAATCGTCCATTAGCGGCTGGGTGTTCTTTTTCGAAAGCTTGAGATGAGTGGTCATAAATCTTCCGCGGACTTGCACTAGTCGAGTCTGGGAAAATTTGAGAACGCCTGTTCTCGCTTGATGGCTCTCGTGCTGTCCAGGATTTTGTTCAAAAAAAGCTTTTGCAGTATTTTGAAATTAGTCAGTTTCAATTTCTTGGGTGGCGATTCTTGGGTGGCGGGGGTAGTTGTTCGGTCGTCCCCTTCTTTCCTTCTTCTCTGCTTTTATTTTTCAGATCAAAACCCAGATCCTCTAAATTGAAGTCCTTCAAAAAATCCCATCCTTGCCCATTTTTCTTTTCTTATTCTTATTCCTTATCCCTTTTCTGCTTTCCCACACACCCTGGCCGATTGGTAGTCAATAAAGAGATCGACTGAAAGAGAAAAAGGGGAAAAGGAAATGAGATCGCAAAGAAATTTACACTTTGGTGCCCGCCGATCCACAAACTTTTCGCCGAAAAATCATATCTGGATGACAGAAAGGGGAGATTTTTGGAGATCCAGCTTATTAAACAATTTTTTTGTAAACCAGTTTTGTACCCTACCCAGTTTTGACGTGGGTGCCATCCAAAACAACCAAAAAAATCTAACTTCTCCATTTTTTTTGCTGAATTTCAGCACTATGCTATCCAGATCGAATAGAAAGTGTACAAATTTTTATTTTGGGGTTTTTTGGATACAGAATGGGTTGGGGTTTCATTTCATCAGGACCAAGTCTAGTTTTCCGATGATTTTCATAATTTCTTGATAAAATTGAGTAGTGTGTGCTCCAGATCGAACGATTCAGAACTTTATTTCTTCCTTTTTTTAGGAGCTTGATCACTTAATCGTCGTTTCGTTGTTCTCAAATGACCCATTGACCCCTCCTTTCGCTTTCAATCACTCCATCCACAGAACATCGGGCCTTTTTGTTCTTCTTTTTCTTTTTTCTGGGTCTTGGTCTCCCTTTTCTCCATCAATCATATCGCAAATTTTTGGGTTTTAGCCAAGCCACCATCTGGTTGTCGCATCACGCGCGTTTTTGAGCTATTTTTATTTGGAAACAGTTTTTCTTGATTTTCGCAACCTTTTCCTACAACCATTTGCAAGATTCAGTCAATAGTTTGGCATTTCTTGACTGGCCACGGTTTTTGGTTTTATCTAGGCTCTTGAAAAAGGCTTTGAGCTGGGTTTATAAGGCAAGCACAAGGCAAGCGGCAAGCACCGCAATTTATCGCATAGTTTTTCGGCTATATCTTGGCTGTAACTTCGCGAACCGATTTTATTCCTTTTTATTATGAAAATTGCGATAATTTTCTATCGAGAATTTTTTTATACAAATTGTAGAATGCTTTTAAGATTTTTATTAAAGGCTTGGAAGATGTGCTCAAAAAAACCCTTGGCACGCAACATTATTCAAACTTTTTTTAGTTCATTTTCAGACTGTAATCAGTTTTATAGCTTTTTTTTGATGAATTTAAGCTTTAAGAGTAAGATTTAGGTAATTCTTTAAGTTAACTTTAAGCTTAACCAATGAAATTTGCCACGCTGAGTCTCTAGAGTCTGGCCAGCAGTCAGGACCATGCCAGACCTAAACTTGTTCTAGAGTAAAACCAGCTCAGAAAAGATCTGGATTTAGTTGTTAGTACCAAGTGAACACGGTTCCAATCTGACCTAGAGCTTGGGTCAGGTCTGGAGCTTGGTCTGGAGCTTGAGCCAGGTCTGGAGCTTGGGCTAGGTCTGGAGCTTGGGTCAGGTCTGGAGCTTGGGTCAGGTCTGGAGCTTGGGTCAGGTCTGGAGCTTGGGTCAGGTCTGGAGCTTGGTCTGGAGCTTGAGCCAGGTCTGGAGCTTGGTCTGGAGCTTGGGTCAGTTCTGGAGCTGGAGCCTGGGCCAGGTCTGGAGCTTGGGTCAGGTCTGGAGCTTGGGTCAGGTCTGGAGCTTGGGTCAGGTCTGGAGCTTGGGCTAGGTCTGGAGCTTGCGTCAGGTCTGGAGCTTGGGTCAGGTCTGGAGCTTGGGTCAAGTCTGGAGCTTGGTCTGGAGGTTGAGCCAGGTCTGGAGCTTGGTCTAGAGCTTGGGTCAGGTCTGGAGCTTGGGTCAGGTCTGGAGCTTGGTCTGGGGCCTGGGCCAGGTCTGGAGCTTGGACCAGGTCCAGCCAGCTTATAACTAGCTTCGTTTTTGTATGCCAGGCTAGGATCTGCTTCTTGTCTGACCTGGGTTTTAAACCACGCAAATAACCCATCGATTCCACCAATATCCTCTAGTCTTACCTTTGACATGCTAATTGCTAATCCCTAGCTATGATTGACCTCGATAGTTGATATTCGAGTGTATGATGACCCGCTCTCTTTCTTTCCATTCCATCGTTCTTTTGGCCACAAAAACTGGCGCCAATCTTTTTTTTCCTTCCTTTTCTCCATTCTGTTTTGACATTCTTTTTTGCAATCCCATTTGTCACCCCATTCAAAACCATGCCTTTTCTTTCTTCTTTAGACCATGTGAATGAAAGGTTTCGACTTTGTGATCTTAGCATTTGGAAGTTTACAGATTTTCAAGAATTTATCTGTTTTTCATCGATCCTGGATAGCATTTTACGAGTTCTAAGCCTAAACTCTTCCAAATGTATAGTTTTCCGAAAACCGGTCACCTTTAGACCAATTATGGACCTCATTCTCGCTAAAAATCAAACAATTCCCCAACACCTAGCACTTTTCGAGCAATGCTGGATAGCACCAAATGAGTTCATGAGCTTAACTTCTCCAATTTTATCGATTTCGAAAAATTGAACTCTTTCTGATCAATTATGGATATCAGTACTTACAATTTTGCCATTTTAATAAAAAAAATTTTATTTTAGGTTTTTCGAAGTAGTGGCTTTCGTTCACTACGCAAGAAGGCTAGTCAAATTTTCAGAAATTGAAAATTTCGACTTACAGGATCAACAGCAGCAAGGTCAATCGATGGACGCGAGATCAATCGCCTCATCGATGAACTCGTCAAGGTAGAAATTAGAGTTTGATTGGTTTCCTAAAACTGTACTCGTTTCCTACTTTTCGTTTCCTACCGTGCTCTTTTCGCTTTCTACCGTAATCCAAATTAGTCAATAAACGGTATTTTGGCTATTCTGGAAGTCACTAGGATTGTTCTCAGTTCAGAAATTCAAATTTGTCATTTTGATCCAGCAGCACTGTACCCGTTTTCTAAACCGTGCTCTTTTCGCTTTCTACCGTAATCCAAACTAGTCAATAAACGGTGTTTTGGCTATTCTGGAAGGCACTAGGGTTGTTCTCAAGTTCAGAAATTCAAATTTGTCATTTTGATTGAACAGCACTGTACCCGTTTTCTAAACCGTGCTCTTTTCGCTTTCTACCATAATCCAAATAGTCAATAAACGGTGTTTTAGCTATTCTGGAAGGCACTAGGGTTGTTCTCAAGTTCAGAAATTCAAAATTTGCCATTTTATCCAGTAAGCACCGTACCTGTTTCCCTAAACCCCTTTTTTCTCTTTCTACCAGAATCTTGTCTCTACTTTTTCTCCAATCTATCCACTTTTTATATCTTTCGATCTTCTTCGTAAACCCCGCATAGAATTAAACCAAAAAAATGATAGAAAAATAGAGACAAGATTACGGTAGAAAGAGAAAGAGAAGGCACGATTTAGAGAAACTGACTCTAGAAAATTTAGAGAAACTCTAGAGCTCAAAAAATACGAAAAACAAAAAGCATCCAAAATTTACAGACCATTCTCTCCATTTGAGCCCAAGGCTAGCACTTTGGATTCGCCGTTGCATCGGTGAGTTGAAAACGGATTGTTTTGACGTTTTTTTTTTGACATATTTACATCCAAAAATTCCTCTCCAGATCTGCGACAACCAGCCGAATGCTAACCCCAACACCGCCACGAGCTTTTGGAGGCACTATTTATGTGAGTTTTATCCGTTTTCCAACCAACTTATACGAAAAATCGATAAAATTCGGCCGGTACTTCATGTTCGCTCGTAAACGCGCGCTTTCTGGCAGAGTCAGTTTCTGGCAGAGCCAGTTTCTGGCATTACCCATTTCAGTGTGCCAGGAGGCGACTCTGGAGGACTTTGAGGAGGTTGATGGAATTTTTTAGCAAAAATTAGCCCTATTACCAAATTTCTTTGCGAAATCATCGAATCTGGATGTCACGAGAGCTATTGAGACACTTTTTAATCCAAAAAAAGCGTTACTTTGACCTAACAGCTACGCGGATACTAGCTATACTTAGACATACTTAAACATAGCAGCTACTTACAATCCCGTTTTCCAGAAAATTAACAATTATGGATGTCACAAGGGCCATTAAGCTGCTTTCCGACGTAAAGAAGTCACTTTTAAATGACCGGAGCCACTTTTCAACCCAAAAAGCGCTACTTTGACATAACAGCTACGTGCATATGCTACTTACAATCCCGTTTTCCAGAAAATTATCAATTATGGATGTCACAAGGGCCATTAAGCTGCTTTCCGACCTAAAGAAGTCACTTTTAAATGACGGGAGCCACTTTTCAACCCAAAAAGCGCTACTTTGACATAACAGCTACGTGCATGTGCTACTTACAGTGCCGTTTTCCAGAAAATTATCAATTATGGATGTCACAAGGGCCATTAAGCTGCTTTCCGATCTAAAGAAGTTAGAAATGGCTTTTACCATCATATATGCAAATTTACGATCCACAGGTGAAAGCCTGAGCTGATAAACTTTCACCTTTCCGCTCCTTTCCCTTCTCGAAATCCCCCGGTGACTTCAATCATTGTCAAATCTATTCTAAAGACGCACCGCATTTAGGTCAATCTTTTCATATTCTCTTTTGAAAAGAGAGATCAAATCATATCCGCTCCATGGGGAGAATTTCCATATTTAACTCATCCATTTCCCGAGCACTTTTCACTTGTCAATTGTTGCACTGATTTTACAGCCAATTCCATTTTTCACTTTTCTTGATATCCAGTAGTTCTAGTATACGCAAATTTCGCTTTTACACATGTTTTCCGATCTTAGGTCGACGGTTCAACGGTTCGGTTTCCGAAAATCGACTTTTTCTTGCCAATTCCTTCACTTCTTTATTACTGATATAGTAGGTTTGATTTTAATGTAGCCCCGGAGCCCACGGTTCTGAAGATCCGCGTATTTCTTTCTTTCTTCCTTTCTTCTTTCTCCTTGTCTTTCCCCCTTTCTTTCTTTCTTCTTTCACCTTGTCTTTCCCTCTTTCCTTCTCCCTTCTTTCTCCTTGTCTTTCCCTCTTTCTCCTGGCGAGTTAAGAAGGCAAAGGATGGTGAGTCGGTGAGTAAGGTGTTGGTAGTAAGGTAGTAAGGGATGGGATTGCTGACAAGGGAATGATCAGAGCTGGCGGTGGGATTTTAACCTGGAAATAACATGCAAACCCGCTGATTACAATGGTGAAATCCGTTTTTGCTAACGGGCAATAGTTTTCGTAGAAACGCAAGAATTTAGAATCAACTGGCGTTTTTTCGCTCTCCAAGGCTTGTCGAAGTACAAAGTACGTCAAAGTACGTCGATGTACATCGAGGTACGTCAAAGTACGTCCTCTGCGGGCGCATACGACAAAGAAGTGCCTTGTTAGTCCGCTAAGCGTTCGTTTTTGCATTCCTGGTTCGACCCTGGTTAGAGCAATTGCCGGGAAAGCAGAAGATTGCGGGTTCACTCTCGGAAATCTACTTTTTCTTGCCAATTCCATCACTTTATTACTACTTTTTCTTGCCAACTCCATCACTTTTTTACTACTTTTTCTTGCCAAAGTCTTCACTTCTTTATTAAACTACCGTAATACTCTTGTCTTTTAGCTAATAATAAAGTTAAAACGTATTGATTTCGTAGACAAAATCTTCTTTTTTTGCTCTCGCTTTTTGTCGGAACTTCTTACCCAAAAAATTTCCATAATTTTTTCGCGATTTCCCTAAAAAAAGTTCTGACAATGAGTAATCATTTGACTCAAAAAAACTCCACAAAAAAAAAACCCCAAAAAACCCCCAAAAACTTAACGATAAGTAAACACATTTGCGGACAAACGATGTGCGAGATAAAAGCCGTAAATTCTCGACAAAACTTTGACAGAATTCAACAGAAATTATTCAAAAAACTATCAACTTTAATCAATTTCTGAATCAATCTTTAATCAATCAATTTAATCAATCAATTTAATCAATTTAATCAATTTAATCAATTTCCCCAATTTCCCCAATTGTATAAACAAATTAAATCAATTAAACAATAAATTTCGCTTGAAAAGCTGCTGAAAAAACCTTTTTTCCCTTTCAAAATCCATCCCAGTGTACTCCAGATTTTATCAATTCCCCTCGATATTGCGAATTTCTTTCTGGAAATTTAATTTCTGGAAATCTCATGCTTCTGATCTTTTTTTTCCTTTCAAATACACCTGTGCTTTCCAGATTTATCATTGCTTTTCGAAAATTTTGAAAAATGACCGCTCGACCGGAGAAATTGCGTCGAACGACGAGCCAGCGCTACACCGGGAATCCCATTCAGATATGCGAATTTCTTGAAAGCTTGAAAATTTAAGCAGAAATTGACCTGTGCCTTCCAGAAAAGCCAATGCAAAAGAGATTTTATGAAAATGAGAAAAATTGACGGAGTTACGGGCTCAAAGTCGAACTTAGGCTTTGGCTCATTTCTTTAAGCTCCTCAAAGAAATGGATAATTGATGCGATAGCTAGAATGTGATTTGATGGCTTTAAATCTAAATCCCAATTTGCATACGATGATTTTCAGATGATGAAAGACGAGCACGAAAGAGAAAGACAACGATGGCAAACGAGGATGGAAGAGATCGAGGAGAGGCTGGCACTGTCGGAGACGCTCAACTCTGACATGAACAATATCAAAGCGGATTTGGTGAGCGCTTTTAAGTACGAGATTTCATTGCTCATTGCAATATTAAACATCGAAAACCTTTCAATTCTAAGTTAGAAATGTCAGCTTGCCAATAGAAAGCTGAGACTTAAATTGGTCGACGGAAAACCGCCATGAAAGTGCGTACTCGTACTCGTACTTAGTGCGTACTCGTACTTAGTGCGTACTCGTTCATAAGTACCTAGTTAACTAAAAAAGCTGGAATTTTGATTTTTGACCAATCTGGAACGCATACAAGCTAGAAAGCTAGAGAAATCCGATTTTGATGGGCTTTGAAAGAACCGCATTCAAGTCCGACACTTAACCCAAGAATTGATTGGACCTGAGACATCTAGAAGCTGTAATTATATGATTTTTCTAAGATCTGGATGTCACATCACGCAAAACTCTCGTAAAATAAACATTTTCATTTATTTGAAGAAGAATTGGGGTTCAGGGTCGGTCAGAGTTGGACACTAGATACAAAGCAAAGACGACTATTCACATATTTAAGCTTCATTTTTGTTCGATCTGGCACGCACAGCTCCCCAAAATCTCGTAAAGTAACCAAGTTGTAAAATTTTTCAGAAAATTATTAACTTTAATCAGTTTCCCGTATGCAAAAACGAATTTCTCTTGAAAATTCTTTTTTCCAAATTCTTTTGCGCTTCCGACATTGTCGTGTTTGCGATTGTCATTGTGATTGTCATTGTCAAAGACAATTTTTCTGGGTTAGGACAGATCAGGCTTTGATCTGGCTTTTAACAGTCCTTGATTAGACCTGTGAGAAGTCTGTATCAAGCTCAAGCATCAAGCTGGTCTAGCTTTGCTTTGCTGCAGCTCTATGAATCCTACAGTTTAGTGCAGTGCAGATTTTGAATCCTGCAAACTTCTAAACCAAACTTCTAAACAAAATTTTCTAAACTCTATCAAAACCTTGTCTTTCAGAACAAGAAAATCGTCGAATTGGAAAAAACACAAAAACCGATCGGCGATCAGAATCGAAAGTTGGCGGAACGGAACAAAAACCTCTCGCATGAACAAAAAAGAATCGAAAAAGAGATGGCTGAGATGAAAGACGCGTTGATCACCATTGTTAGTGTTAGTATCGATTTTTACTCTAACTTTTCTTCCAGCGTGACTCGCATGATCGGTTGACCAAAGAGAACGCTCATTTACGAGAGAAACGCGTGTTCCCACAAGAGAAAATGGACGAGCTGGAGCGATTGAGGACACAGATCTTGGAGCACTCGAAATGCATCACCGCGTTGCGACAGAGTGGATTGGTGGGTGAATAGCTGGCGCTAAAATAGCTAGAACTCTGCACTTGACACTTTGCGAATCAAAAGTTCACCGATTTTCGTCTAGGCTTAAATTTCCGTCATATTTGACTTAAATTGGGCACAAAATCGAAAATCGATCAAAAAAGCAGTAGTCTCTAGAGACTAGTCTAGAGAACTAGACTTACTAAAGAACTTTTTCAACTTACCACCGATTGGCGGTGGTCTAGGGGATAGTGCACTAGACTCTGAAACCTATCCAGTTTTTTTCCTTACGGGTTCAATTCTGCTTGCCGCCAAATTTTGTTTTTTTGTCACAAGTATAAAAAAACGTTTCTTGTGAGTAGTAAGATGATTTTAAAGTATAAAAAGTTCAAATAAATATTTATTTTCCCGTTTATTGTTCCATTTATTGTTTACCAGCGGTTAGACGGGTTTTTCTGGCTAGATGTTTTGGAGCTAACGCATAGTTTGATCTCTCAAGTGAAAGGGCCCCTTCCCCTCCCCTCCCACTACAAGTACAAAAACTTGTAACGACAGATCAAAAATCTGAATCTTGTCAAATGTTGTGTGCACTTCAGCTAAGAAATTCACAAAAAATAAAAAAAATTCTGAGCACTCACAAAAGAGGAATAAGCGCCCGAAGATTTGAGGGTCTGATCTGGCGGATCGCGGATCTGGCGGATCGCGGATCTGGCGGATCGCGGATCTGGCGGATCGCGGATCTGGCGGATCGCGGATCTGGCGGATCGCGGATCTGGCGGATCGCGGATCTGGCGGATCGCGGATCTGGCGGATCGCGGATCTGGCGGATCGCGGATCTGGCGGATCGCGGATCTGGCGGATCGCGGATCTGGCGGATCGCGGATCTGGCGGATCGCGGATCTGGCGGATCGCGGATCTGGCGGATCGCGGATCTGGCGGATCGCGGATCTGGCGGATCGCGGATCTGGCGGATCGCGGATCTGGCGGATCGCGGATCTGGCGCAAATTATCGTAACCCAAAAGGATCAAATGGTTGCGAAATCGCTAGACTTTTTTAGTTCTTTCCAAATTTAATACTTTGTGATAATTCCTTCAGTGAGTGATACAAAAAAGTTAAGTTTTCACTTCTGTAGTAGATTGCTTTGTTTAAAGGATAAATGATCAGTTAATAAAATAAAAAAAATCTAATTGTATTCATTATTAAAGCAAAATAAATTGGATTCAAGCCCAATCAGTCCAGCAATTTCGCAGCGATTTGACCCTTTTAGGTTACGATAATTTGCCCACATGTTAGCGCGCAGACCCTCAAATCTTCGAGCGCTTATTCCTCTTTTGTGAGTGCTCAGAATTGTTTTATTTTTTTTCCGAATTTCTTAGCTTGAGTGCACACAACATTTCACAGGATTCAGATTTTTGATCTGTCGTTATCGCATTTTTACTCAGGAACGTACTCGTAGTGCTTCCCCTTCCCTCCTCTCCTCTCCCTCCCCCTGCGCCCCCTCCTGCGCCCCTCCAGGACCCCGACCACGTCCAGGCGTGGTCGAGGCGGTTGGGCGCCCCCCCCTCGCCCCCAAGGGCCGCCAAAGGTAGGAACGTTGCCCGTAGTGCCTCCCCTTCACTCCTCTTCTCTCCCCTCCTCTCCTCTCCTCTCCTCTCCTCTCCTCACCTCTCCTCTCCCCTCCTGCGCCCCTTTCTGCACCCCCTGTAACAATACTGGGATCAAATATCTTAATCCTTCAAAGCAAGATCGGAACCAACTCTAGTACCCTTCGAAGCACCACCGACATTTATACTGGGACGGTAGACGAGACGCCAACCACCTCGACCACGTCCGGGCGTGGTCGAGGCGGTTGGGCGCGCCCTCCGCCCCCAAGGGCCGCCGATGGTAAAAAAAGCGCATGTGGTTTTTCTGATTTTTTACGGGTTTTTGAAGAAAAACTTGTTCTATTTACCTATTCATTTTTAATTCCCTATCGATCAAAAAAAAAGTCTGTCGAAATCGGTTAATGTGGAGCCAAGATCCAGAATGTGACGGACGGTCAGACAAACAGACGGACACTTCTCTTTTATATATAGTAGATTATTTATTGTTTCAAAGGCGTTTGCTAGTAAATCACCCGTAAGCTCTGAAAGCTATGCAAAAACAAAAAAAACTTTAATAAATAACTAATTACTACTTTAAAAGCACTATCGCAAAAGTGCAAAAGAACCGCAAAGAAAAAGTTTTTCGGAATTTTTTCAAAAAAAGCAAGTAATTTGGCAGCATGCGGCAAGCGGCAAGCGGAATTGAACCCGCAAGGAAAAAGGATAGGTTTTTGAAGCTAGCACACTACTCTAAGCCGTTGATGGTTATAAAACTTGTTTATAAACTTGCCTCAAAGCTAGCTGCATCAAAATTCAAGCTAAGATTGACTAACTGAAAGCTTTGGCTTAGCTTTTCTCAATTAAAAGTTGAGTTTTATCATTTCTGATTCCCGATTCCAGGAAAAAGACCGCCGCTACGATGTGATGGTCCAAAAATTCAAACGACTCAAGAAATGCATCCGAAAAACGTCCGAAGAACCCGGTGACGACAATCGGAGCACTGTGGAGTCTACATGTTCTGAGGGAAAGCTCACTGTCGTTGGACCCGATTTTGGAGGACTTTGAAGAGGTCGGTGACGTTTTCGGCAAAAATTTACCTCCAAATATCAAATTTCTTTGCGAAAACATCGAATCTGGATGTCACAGAAGCTATTGAGACACTTTTCAGCCCAAAAGCGTCACTTTGACATAACAGCTACGTGCATGTACTACTTACACTACTCAAAATTTAACATTTTCCTATTTTCTCTAACTTGTTGCCCACTGTGCTTTCCAGATCACAATTTTATTTTTCGGAGAGAATTTTTTCATTTCAAAATCGCCAATTTTCGGCTTAGATCTCTTTTTCTCGGCGCCAATTTCCGTTTTTACTCATTCGCCCTCGTTTTTACTCATTTTGCTTCAATATTTCGCGAAAGTGTTTCCCAAAATGAATATTTGATCAAAGGATTAACACTTTTTGGCATCCCGCTGAGCCCGAAATTGGGGTGAGAAGGGTTTTTGGGGAAGCGGGAGGGGTGCAGAGAGTGAATTTACCACTGTTGAGCTACCCAGTTTTTGCCGAAACCCCTGAAAAGAGCTGAAGAGGCTTTGTGAAAGCAAATAAACCCTTGCTTTTGTGAGTAAGGAGTTACGGATCAGGGTGAAGGTGGAGAAAAGGAGCCTAGCTCTGGCTCCAGCTCCAACACCTGTATTGACATTGTCAAAACTCAATACCACCCATTTTTGATACTCCAATCCATTCTGTGAGCTCCAGAACTACTAAAGACTGACGTATTTTTGCGTTTCATGCTATAAACTGTCTGAAATCTAGCTGTACTCGATCATCCAAAAAACTTGACCGCTACTTTGACGATTTCCTTATTTTTTTCTCCATTAGCCTCTGTGCATTCCAGAATTCACAAATCCAGTGCACTAGGTCCGTTGCGTTTCCATTTTCAATCCAATTTCTCGTTCCAAGCCAACTCGAAATTCTGAATTGCTCCTTTGAAGCTTTCCGCAATTTTTCTTATTTATTAATCTCTGTGCGTTCCAGGATTCACAAATCCAGTGCACCAGATCCAAAGCCTTTTCATCTTTCTTCAGAGTTTTACCCGTCCAAGTTTTCCGACAATCTTTCCCGTTTCCCCTATCAATCATTTGATGTATCCCCATGATCACTAATTGGATGTCATTTGGATGAATGGATGAGATTGATTGGGGAACAAATTGGGAACACTTCTCTCTCTTTCTCTCTTTCTTTTATCCCAACCACTTTCTCTTCACCCAATAAATCTCTTCATCATCATCTTTATTTTTGATTGCCGTATCAATAATTTCTAAGAAAACTAAGAAATTCCAGGTTTAAGTTTAAAAACTTGTTTTCTGGAAAGCACTATTTGAAATCTTCATACTAAATTTGATTTTGATTTAGATTTTGGTGACTTTTCTTTTTCTTAGTTTCCAACATTTGAAGATGACTAAATTGATGACCCTAGCCCGATTTTTTCAAGACTGATCGTCCAATGTGTCTTTAATTAGTCTCATTAGATACCCTAGAATATATCAATAAACCATTCTATCAAAATATAGCAAAGCAAAGCAAAACAAAGCAAATGTTAACTCTGAGCAAAAGATCTGAGCCATTCAGCCTACTAATTCGAAAATACACAAGAGCTTAAATTGATTTAGCTAAAAGTTAACGCAAACTTAGGTCCCAAACTTTCTTCTAATTTCTAACACATCATTTCCATTTCTTTCTTTAATTTGCATGTTCTTGTAGTGTCTCCGTGGAGGACGGACGCGTTTTTCCGGCAATTGTTTCGAGGAAAACGAGGGAGTTGCAGAGTGCACTTCAACAATTGAAGGAAAGCTCCGACTGCTGATGAAGTGGAAATGTTGAGGTGAAACGAGACAAGATTGATGAGCCTTTTGAGGACTTGGCACCTTTTCATTCGGGGCTGACCCGGGCAGATTCGGGGCCGATTCGGGGCTGATTCGGAGGCTGATTCGGAGCTGATTCGGAGCTGATTTGGAGGTGATTTCGGAGCTGATTCGGAGCTGATTCGGAGCTGACCAGGCTGATTCAGGGCTGATTCAGGACCGATTCAGGGCTGATTCGGGGCCTGATTCAAGGCTGAGCTCAGGACCGTTTCGGAGCTCAATTCGGAGCTGATTCGGGCTGATTCGGGGTTGATTCGGGCTGATTCGGAGCTGACCCGGGCTGATTCGGAGCTGATCAAGGACCGGTTCAGGCCCAATTCGGGCGATTCAGGGTTGATCCGGCGCTGTTTCGGGGCCGATTGAGGGGCTGATTTGGGGCTGATTCGGGCCCAATTTGGGACCTATTCGGAGCTGATTCAGAGCTGATTCAGGGCTGATTCAGGACGATTCGGGGCTAATTCGGTTCCCATTGGATTCGCCATTTGGGGCCGATTCGGTTCCTATTCGGTTCCCATCAGATTCCCCATTTAGGGCCGATTCAGTTGCCATTTGGTTCCTTTTTCGGTTCCCATTCGGGGCCGATGCCGGAGCCGATTCGGAATCTTCAAACTGTTCATCTCTTATTTATGAGATTCCTGAATCATTTGATTGTTTTTATCAAAATTTGGTCTATTTTTTTCCTTGAGAGGCTTATTCAGTTCCTTACTAACTAAAGGCTTGTTTAAGGGTTTTGAAAAACAGGAACGCCGGAAAAAAGGGGCTAGTCTACTTAATCTTTGTCAATAGGATTTGAGGAGGCATAAAAATCTGATCGATTTAGAAAATCTAGTATGCACACTATGTGATGGGATCTGGTGGTGGAAAAAGGGGAAAAGCTTTTCTTAGATGGAAAAGCTAGAAAGCTTCGTTAGGTTATTGTAAAGGCTAAAGATATAAAATGATCAGATTAGACAACGAAGAAGTCAAAGCGGAAAGAAAAAAAGAAACGATTGGTGAAGAAATGATTGGTATTCAGGCATTTTCCAGAAAACCTTATTTTTGGTTTAAATATTAATTTTTAACAGGAGTAACAAACGTTAATAAACATACAGTCACGCACACAAAAGTCCTTGCAAAATCCAGTTTAGGAAATTTCAAATGTAATAACTTTTTTGCAAAGAGGCGAATTTCAAAACAGTTTTAGGTTTTAAGTTGTCAAAAATTTCTATTTTTATATGCAAGAAAAACTTCTTTATTGAAACGATTAACGAAAAATTACAAAAACAAATAAAAACAAAAATGTAGGCGTATTTTTTGATGCTCAAAAGTCAAGGAACATTTGAAAACCTTTAAGCCGACCTTTCTTAACTTTCTCCCTCTGAAAAATTTAAGAATCGTAATTTATTAATGGTGCATGAAAAAAGCGAGCCGAAGATGCAAATACATAGAAGGAGCTGCTGTTGGCTTTCTTTAGAAAACATAAACGAGTCAGGAAAAACTATAACTCTCCGAGTTCGAGATTAGTTAATCAGGAAAAAACAGAATTTAAAGCATGCAAAGGCAATTTAAGGCCAGCAAAATTTAGCAATAAAACATCAATGATCGATCATTTGATCATAATTGATGCTGAAGGCGGGAAAATCCGGAGATCCGAAAAAGATGTCCGAGCGCTCTCTGCATCGAACTTCCTTAAGGACAAATACAGATGCACCGTCGCATTGATATTTCGCTGTCGGAAAAACAGACTTTTCATCGTGAAAGTGTAACGTCTACTTCCCTTCCACGGATCGTTTGCCACTTTAATGAATGGTCGATTTATCTTCCCTGCTGATTTTTCTCATTCCTGGATATCCCTTGAGAAAAACAAGGATTGTAGCCTTATATCGTCGTAAAAAAGAATCTTGCCGTAACTATCACAACCGCTGCGGGGCTTGCTCGGAATTCAGTGGCTAATAATCCTTTGAATGGCTGGAAGAATGATATCTGCGTTGAACAACGCATTACAACATCATGATGCGAGCCCTACAAAAGCATTGTAGTAAAACTGAAATTCATCATCATTCAAACAATGAACTCTGACTCATCTAATATTCGTTGAGTTGAGCCTCAAATGAAATGCCCAACGAATCTTTGATTGATGGAGTTTTTTTGAGGAAGCTGGGAAGACCCACTATACCTTTGATCTTACTTGACAAATGAGAAAGCAAGTCCAGGCCGAGTGGCGAACAGCCAATCAAATCGAGGAAATTCACTGCCTTCCGTTGTTTTTGTAAGCGGCACGATCCTGGTCGATTGGGCTGTCGTAATAATTGCTCATCCACAATAGATCACATGATCGAATGCTTTTGATGAAAGGAAGATGACGAATGACATCCAGACTGACCCCACGTGACTCCGAATTCAGCTTCTTGATCTTGACTTCTTCAAAACGAAATCCAATATCATCCACATGATGTCCAAAAACGATCGACGGTCGATTCGAAATCATCCATTGGAATCCTTGATTGACTTTCACCAATTCAACGACATCTTTTGCCTCCAATTGCTCCAAAACCTCCACCTTCAGATCGAAGCCAAGACGTTCGATTGAAAATGTGGTCAGATTTCGCATCTGGATTGGCGCCATTCTACCTGAAAATAAAAAGAATTCGTCTTTGTAAGGGGCAGATCAATGCAATGGATCACTTTCAGCATTTCCAGTCGTAAAAGCTTGTCTTCTAGAGCGTGAATGATGAATCTTCAATAAAAGATTTGTTAAAATGCTAAAAGTGATCCATTGCACGGGTCTAGGAACGAAAAAAATAGAAGTCGAAAGAAATAAGCATAAAATCATGTATTCTAGTGGAATTTAACAAAACCCAAGTCTATTTTTTACATTATTGCGTGAAATTTGGGACGGTATGCTAAAAAAATGCTAAAAAAGCACAAAGAGACTGGAATCTAGACAAATGAATTAAAAAACCAATATTTTAAACAGATGAAGTGCTTTAAGATGGGGTCTAGTACATAAAATATCATGGATTTGTCAAATTCTAATCATTTCGCATTAAGAAATGGGGTTTAGTTGAGAAAATCGGGAAATTCTAGAAATTTAAACGTTTTAAAGCCTTGCGAATCAGAAATTTGAAAAAATGAAAAAATTTTGCACCGGATGCTATAAT